CTCTCTCTCTCTCTCTCTCTCTCTCTCTCTCTCTCTCTCTCTCTCTCACAGTCCAGTCACATGACAGCACACTGCCTCTGTACACATCTCAGGCTGACGGCTATTAGAGGTGATGCAGCTATTAAAGATGAACCTGGCCCTGTCAACCCGCCTTTGCTGGCTCCACTCAGAGTGATGGAGTTTCGACCGGAGCCCAGACACCTCCATGTCTGATGGAGGAGGCACAGAGGCCATAAGAGACATCGCTGTATTATAAGTGAAATCCCTGTTACACATCTATCCTCCATTAGCAATGCAGTGACACTGATCCATTAAGTGTTGGGGCAACACTTAATGGATTCTATCATACAACTTTGCTCTACTTTTATTTTCTGTCCTTTTGACTGCTATAAAAATACTTTTGTTTTTTTGTATCAATAACAGCTGATCGCTTCAAGGCTTCATATGCATGAACAGTATGCACAGCTATACATATCGCTCTGTTTGAATAGTCAAAGTGGGCGTTTACCCCCACAGAGTCTCTATAGGATGAAGGCGTGCCGCCTGCTGTTTCATTTGAATGTTGTCATTCAAAGGACTTCAGCTCCTTGACGGGTTCGGGAGGGAAATGTCTCAGGTGCAGAACTATTAAACATATTTAACATGGACCTGCTTCATCCACTGAAAAGAAATTGAAAGCAGCAAATTCCATTTCAAATTCTGCTGCTAAATCAACAACACGTGTTCCCGCTGTTTGTGTATCTTACTGTAGAAGACAGAGGGCGGGTCATGGAAAAAGGAGTAGGAGGTGAAGAAGAGCAGGTAGGTGCTGTATGACCACGACATGGTGTAGAAGACCAGCTTCCACGCACTCTCCGGCATCTTGGCAGCATCTTTGGGCAGCAGCCTGCACCACTGTGCTAGAGGCTGCAGGGACAGAGCAGAGAGAAGAGACGACAGTCAGACAAACAAGAGGAGAGGAAGAATTCATCCGGCTGCTTCTTTAGGCCGGGTGAACTGCTGGGAGGCCCGTTAGACACAATTACTGATTCATTCAGACGGTGTCCTTTTACAGAATTGTGAAATTCAATACAAGGCTCTTAATTCAATACGTGTGGCGCAAACAATTCACCGCGCGGATTCTTTGCGGTCCGGTAATGCGGCGTTGTGTTGTGTAAAGGCTGAGAGTTCCTTTGCAAAGACTCAGATATTTTTAGCCAGTTGGACCACAGATGTTTTTGGAGGGATTGTAATTGTTGCAACATCCTCAGGCACATTTTTTCCGAACTAATAAACACTGGCTGCAGAAAACAAATGGGTATAACAGGAAGTAAGAATGGAGACATCAAGAGACTGGTGTACATTGTTTCCATCATAAATAGTTGAGGTAAAGCAAAGCTAGCACTGTGCACAAAGCTCAAACCAGTGGCAGGAGAGAAGCTAACTAGACTACAGTTTGGAGAAAAAAGCCTATATGCACGTTAGAAGTATTTAAGAATAACATAATTTTTTAAAAATGCATTCATATAGTGGTTTATATTGAGATCATAATAGAAAGTGTAAGATGACCCTGTTGAGATTTAAGATGCCTGCTTGGACGTTAGATTACAGATACAGCAGATTTTACGTACGCTTATAACTGAACACATGCGCTCTCTTCCTCTCGTCCTGACACACATGCATTCAGTGTCATCAGTAAGCTACAGTCCATTTCAACCATGTGACCGTCTGCCCCAAACCTGCTTATGGTTTGCTATGCAAGCAGAAATAGAGGAAGTCGGAAAGAAGGCCCCCGACATCCTGATGCAGCGTGATAACATGACAACTCCACCTACTCACTGGTGGGGCCATGTCATCTTCCTCTGTCACCTCCCTTATGTTGCTGCCCCGTGACTCTGACCTTTTGCCTCCCCTTTCTATCTCTCTCTCTATATATATTGTGGCATAATAGGTAAGACAGGTACATCAGTTAAGCAGTGAGACAGGCAGGTGTTCAGTGTGTCTTTGCTCTGCCAAGACAGGAAACCAAACCCAGCTCAACGCCTCACACACACACACACACACACACACACACACACACACACACACACACGACTTTGGAAGGCAATGAAATGGTGTAACAGGAGGCAGGAAAGTGAAAGTGGCCGGTGTTAGTGATACAGTACATCTCAGTCAGTTGTTACTAAGCAGCTAGTCTACAGCATATGATACGACAGGGTTAAGTGACCGACTACATAACAAATTAACAGAAAGAGTTGCGTGTAAGCCGATGCATTAAACAGTTTATGTCTGAAACCTTTCCCGTCTGTACAGTCTTTCATCTCTTGCTTATCATCTTCCTTTCACATTCTTTCATTCTTTCTCTTTCTCTCTGCCTCATTCTTATGTTTCTGTCTCTTCTTCTTTGACCTGAGTCATACGGCAGAGAGTTAAAACGAGACAGGGAAGGAAGCTGACAGGGGCAACACTGATGTGAGATAAAAAAATGTAGAGGCAAAAACGTCTTTGTGGTCCTCGTGTTGCGGACGCACAAAGAAGAGGATAGGCAGCTGCAGGGGACCACATGATCCCTAGCGTGGCTGCTGATTGGTCGAGACTGTGGGGACATGTGGTACGTGTCCGGAAATTCATGACTGGTTCTCAGGACACTCACACACATTCTTTCAAGTCTCTCAGTCCCTCTCTATCAGCCCTCCCATCCCCCCCCCCCCCCTCCTTCCCCTTTTATGTCATGCTCTTCCCAGCTCACTCGCTCTCTCTCTCTTCACCGCTGTGTCTCCCCCCTGCCTGCGACATTTATTTATAGAAGCCAGCTGTCAGCACACAGCATACCCCCCCCCCTTCAATCTTCCACCACATCACCCCTTCTGATAGACAAACACATAGAAACATAGGCCTACGCACACTCACGCAGGATGAATCTCACTAGTGGCGGATACAGCTTTCTGCAGACACCAGCCCCGGCTCTGCAGCTCATACCTTACTTTGTTAATCAGCATTACTGCTCCATACACCTCCTACTAATGCCTCCATGTCACATCTATCTCTATATTCTCCTACCCACTGTCAGGTCCTTCCTCACAGTAACATACACCGCTATTTTGGTGTCTGATAAGCTTTCAAACTCATGGATCTGTTACTCAAACTGCCCTCCCTGGATCACATTTCCTCGTCCAATCTCTACCTGCAGCAACACGCCCCCACCAAAGCAGCCCCATGCATTTTTTAATGCAGTGCCGGGCCTGGATTATCAACCCAGCATACAGTGCAGAGCTGAAATGTTCCAGATTACATCAAGTTGTACTGTTCAAACCCCTTGCAAGATGGTATCTCTGACCACGGCCTTTAAGCAACCAAAACCACGCAGCAGGGCCAACATTTTAGTTTCAAATGCTGATTTTTAGAGATTACATAACAGCCTGCCAATTATTGTCTCACTGTACCAGCCCACCGACACACTCGGTCCTGTCCACCCACCCTATCAGTCTACCCTTTACTTTTCTGTGCCAGCCTACAAAGTGGGGGTATAGCGGGTCAAGGACAGTGAGATAATCCGCTCGTCCTCTGTGGGATAAATGACAGGGCCTTGAATTACACTCAGCTGGGACCTGCGACCATTCAACAGCCTCTCTCTCTCGCTCTGTCTGTCTCTCTCACTCTCTCCCTCTGTCTGTCTCTCTCTCTCTCTCTCTCTCTCAGACTCTGGCTGAACTCGTTCTCCAGCTAAAAGAGAATCCTTTTTTAAAACAGAAGGGAGAAAGGAAACGGAAGAAAAACAGAGAGCGTGCGACAGGAAGAGTCGGCATGAAAGAGAACTTGACAAATAAGCGGTTCCCATAGCAACCATGCAGGGATGCTGGCAAAGACCTGCAGTATGGCGTCTGTGTCTCCTCCACTACAGCCCTCCTTCTCCCTGCTTATCTACAGCTGCACCCTATGTCCTTCCCTTTTACCCGCCACTCTTTAATAGCCCCCCCCCCACCCCGACCTTCCCCGAAGCAAGTGATGGGAGAGGGTGAATGGACTACACTGGCCTGTTGTGTAAGAAGATAAACTGGGCCAGTGAGTCAGGATGCTGGCTCCGGTGTGGATCTGTTCAATAAGGTCCCCTCTTTCGTTCACGCTTTCATTCCTTCGATCTCTTTCGTTAATCTGACGTCACTTTGAACCCAGCTCTGTCACCGATTCCCTCCGTTCTCTTTACATCTTTTTCCCAGACTTGGGACAAATAGGATTAACAAAGGCTAATCCAATGGATGGCTAGAGTATTGGACTATATATATATTTGCGATTAACAATTCACACAACGCTATTTGAGGTGTCTTCCGGACTTTTCTGGTGCTGAAAGTAGGTTAGAATCAACATTTTTTACACATGTAGTCTACCTCAGAACATCTGCCTCTGTAAAGAAAAAATCATCAAAAAACATTCCTTGCTCACAATATTTAATACTTATTTACCATCAAATGGTGCTAAAATCTTTCAAATCCAAATAGTTTTTTAGCGAACGTTAACCAATACCTTGTTGGGAGGAGGATCATTTTGTTTTATTGTACCCTATTTAATCCAAAGAGAGTAATATATCTGTCCCACTGTCAGTTCACACTGAAGCTGTGGTCGTGATTGGCAAGAGTAGAAACATGTTTTTCACATTGATCATCTATTCATGTTGATTCAATGTTGTACAGCAGGTGTTGGTCTCATCTACCTCGTCCCCCTTTTACACAGATGTAACTAAGTATCCATGAGGCGAAATGTCCCCATTCTTAATCCCGCCTACAGTAAGTAGCTCTGATTAGTCAAATGTTTCTCAGACTGATGAAACAGCTACGAATGGTCCCAACACCTATTAAGTCACTGAAGGTGAATGGGAGGTCTGGAACTAGGCTTCATTAGCAGTCATCACCATCAGTCAGACGCCTTCAAGCAGTTAGTTCACCAGTGGAAGGCTTTTAATGTGAACGCAGCGACATGGAAGTCTTTGCATCATCAACAGCTTAACACAGCAACAGACTTCATCACAGTGTGTCCAATGTCACTGATGTATATGTATGACCCAACTCTCTCTCCCCATGCTTCCTGTACCGTGTACATACTGGGACAGTGAGTGAACTGGTACTGGCTGTCCTTTCCTGGCAAATACTTCAGTCCTGCCTTCTAGTGATGATGAGTCAGCTGTTCATTTGTATGTGATGCAATAAAAGGAATTGATTAAGAAAACGAAAGACATTCTATGAGGCATATGAGCCACTCATTAATCCCATGGATGAGGAACACACACACCGTATACACATGCACACAGAAATGATCTACACTGCACTTCTCAAATCTAGGTAGATGGTTTAAAACCTGTTTCTTATCTAAAGATATCCGATTTATTTACAGTGGGTACGTAAAGTATTCAGACCCCTTTAAATTTTCCACTCTTTGTTTCATTGCAGCCATTTGCTAAAATCAAAAAAGTTCATTTTATTTCTCATTAATGTACACTCAGCACCCCATCTTGACAGAAAAAAACAGAAATGTAGAAATTTTTGCAAATTTAT